ATTATTATTGTTATTATTATTGTTATTGTTGTTATTATTATTATTGTTATTGTTATTTTTATTGTTGTTATTATTATTTTTATAATTGTTATTGTTATTTTTATTGTTATTGTTATTATTATTATTATTGTTATTGTTATTATTATTAGCATTATCATTGCTATTGTCATTAATATTATTTTTTTACTGTTATTGTTGTTATTATTATTATTATTATTATTATTGTTATTGTTAATGATATTGTTATTGTTATTATTATTGTTAGTGTTATTATTATTATTATTGTTTTTGTTATTATTGTTGTTATTGTTATTGTTATTCTTATTATTATTGTTATTAATTATTATTATTATTGTTATTATTATTATTATTGTTATTGTTATTATTATTATTATTGTTATTTTTATTATTATTGCTATTGTCATTAATACTATTATCATTGTTGTTATTGTAATTATTATTGTTATAGTTAATATGATTATTGTTATTATTATTGCATTTCTTATTGTTATCATTATTATTTTATTATTGTTATTATAATTAATATTTTTATGGTTATTATAATTAATGTTATTGTTATTGTCCTTATTATTATTATTATTGTTAATGTTAGTACTATTGTTATTGTTAGTATAATTTGTATTGTAATTATTAATATTGTTATTGTTATTTTTATTTTTATTATAATTATAGTTATTGATATTGTTACTGTTATTATTATTGTTATCAATATCATTATTATTATTGTTTTTTATTGTTACTGTTATTATTATTGTTATCAATATCATTATTGTTATTGTTTTTTATTTTTATTATTATTATTATTGTTATTGTAATTGGTATTGTTATTATTATTATTGTTGTTACTGTTATTATTATTCTTATAGTTGTTATTACTACTATTGTTATTGTTTTTGTTATTATTTCTGTTATATATATTATTATTATAATTGTTAATGTTCTTAATATTAGTTATTGTCATTATTATTGTTATTTTTATTATTATTATTATTGTTATTGTTATTATTATTATTATTGTTATTATTATTGTTATTGTTATAATTATTATTGTCATTTTTGATATTGTCATTAATATTTTCATATTATTGATTTTGTTATTATTATTATTTTTCTCAATGTTATTATTATTATGATTGTAATTGTTATTATTATTATTATTATTAATGTTATTGTTCTTATTATTGTTGTTTTTATTTTTATTATTATTGATATTGGTATTACTATTGTTAATGTTATTGATACTGTTGTTATTATTGTTATGTAGTTATTATCATTAATATTATTGTTATTTTTATTATTATTGCTAATGTTATTATTATTATTATTTATTTTGTTATTATTAATATTATTGTTATTGTTATTATTATTATTATTGTTATCGTTGTTGTAATGTTTATTGTCCTAGTTATGATTAATATTATTGTTTTATTGTTATTGATATTGTCATTATTATTAATATTACTATTGTTATTATTATTGTTATTGTTATTGTTATGATTATTGTTATTGTTATTATTATTATTATTATTGCAATTGTTATTATTGTTATTTTTGTTGTTGTAATTATTATTATTATTGATATTGTTATTATTATTATCATTGTTATAGATAATATTATTATTCTTATTATTGTTATTATTCTTATAATTGTTATTGTTATTGTTATTATTATTTATATTGCTATTATTATTGTCTTTGTTATTGTTATTACTATTGTTATTGTTTTTCATATTATTATTGTTATCGTTATTATTAATATTGTTGTTATGGTTATTATTGTAATTTTTGTTATTGTTATCGTTATTATTATTGTTATTATTATTATTGTTATTGTTATGTTGTTATTATTGTTTTATTATTATTGTTAATGTTATTATTATTGTTATTGCTTTGTTATTATTACTATTAATGCTATTGTTATTATTATTGTTATGGTTATTGTTAAGATTATTGTTATTGTTATGATTATTGTTATTGTTTTTATTGTTATTGACATTGTTATTATTATTAATATTGCTATTGTTATTATTATTGTTATTGTTATTGTTATGATTATTGTTATTGTTATTACTATTAGTATTATTATTATTGCTATTATTATTGTTATTGTAATTATTATTGTTATGAAAATTATGTTTTTTATCGATATTGTTATTATTAATGTTATTGTTATTGATATTATTATTGTTATTGTTATTATTATTATTATTGTTATTGTTATTGATATTATTATTGTTATTGTTATTATTATTATTATTATTAGTGTTATTATTATTGCTATTGTTATTATTATTATTATTGTTATTGTTATTATTATTGTTATTGTCATTACCATTATTTTTACTGTTATTACAGAAGAAAAACTAAACACACAAAACGAAATAGACAATAAACTACAAAACACCCCAGAACCATCTGGAACTAACATCGCCACTCAAGGCGACAAAAACGTAGGCTCTCAGCTTGCGAAAGGGACACCACAAAATAGAGAGAGAGAGAAACTCGCGCAAGCGAAATTACTCCTTGCCAAAATGAAGCTGGCTATTACTAGATAGCCAAACGTAAACAAGGAGATTAAGAAAGGGATCCCAGAATTGGAGGACATCATAGACAGTCTCGAGTTCAAGTAGAAGTCGAGAAAAGGGCAATAAGGGATCGAGGATCCTCACCCGAGTATCACAGAGACCTCGGGCAAATTCTACGACAAAGGCCAGCGCATTTAAGAGAGTAGCCTCAAGACCGCCGCAGTTGTTTGAAGAAGGCCTCAAAAGACCGAGGCAAGAGGCGACGACGACCGAATCCCCCAAGTGGACGGAGGTCGTGAAGAAGAAAAGAAATAAGGAGAAACCAGGGACGAAGGCGACGAAACACCTACATCAGGAGAAAAAGAAGCCGAGCAAATCGGAGCATAGGCCGAGAAAGAGAACTAGGCCGGACGCAATCCGCCTGAAACCTGCGCAAGGAAAATCTTACGCAGACATAGTCGGGGTCATCCACCAGCGCTTCAAGACCAGCGCAGCAGGGGTACACATTAGATCGGTCCGGCAGACTAGAACCGGAGGGGTTCTCCTCGAACTAAAGAAGACCACTGTGGATATCAGGGCCTCATTCACGGAAACCCTGAGAAAAGAGGTAGGAGAAACGAGCAGCATCACGGAACTGGTCCCTAGAGCTACGCTAGAGATACGGGACTGTGACTGCTGCACCTCGTCGATAGAAGTCGAGGAGGACCTGAAGAGGATGCTGCCAGGCTACGCGGGGAAAATCGAAATTAAGATGACGAACACCAACGCAAGACAACAACGCTTGGCCCACGTCAAAATAGAAGAGGAAGCAGCAGCGAAGCTTTTAAAGGCCGGCCGAGGGCTGGTCGGTTTTGTCAGCTGTAGGGTCAAGCGAAGGGTAAATGTGAAGCGATGCTTCCGCTGTCTCGACTATGGTCACCAAAGTGCCTCGTGCAATGGACCTGATCGAAGTAAATTGTGCTATTTCTGCGGGAGCACGGGGCGCAAGATCAAAGAATGCAAGGTCAGCGAGCCTACTTGCTTCTTGTGCTCAAAGATTGGTGTTGAATCTAGGAAGCACCTGGCGGGATCAAGGCCCTGCAAAGATTTCCAGGAGGCCCATGCAACAGCAAGGAAGTAGAAAAATGGATGAGAGTACTTCAGGGTAACCTGAATAGGAGCAGGACGGCGCATCACCTTCTAGCCCATCTCTGCTCTGAGAAAAAAGCTGATTTTGTTCTAATCAGCGAACAGTACCAGGACAGAGCAGGAGTAAGATGGTACGCAGAGGAATTGGGCACCGCGGCCATCTGGATTCCAGATCCCCGACAGATACATTTGTCGGACCAAGGATCCGGACGCGGTTACGTTTAGGTTACGTTTTAGGTTACGAGACATAACTCGACGACTTATGTAAGTGTATATCTCACTCCGAACGACCGGATAGACGACTTACAGATCAAACTGGACGATCTGGAAGACGCGCTGCGGGAAATAGAAGGGGATCTCATTGTGGCTGGAGACCTCAATGCCAAAGCTCTCGAATGGGGGGAGGCCAGGCCTGACTCCATAGGAAGACGTATCATGGAGGTGGCGTTGAGACTGGAGCTATCAGTACTAAACACAGGGTCGACGTCAACCTTCTGCAGACCTGGATATAGAGAGACGATACCGGATGTCTCTCTAGCCAACGAACACCTTGTGGTAAGAGTCGCAGGCTGGCAGGTTATCGAGAATTATACCGGGAGCGATCATCAGTACTTCCTATTCGATGTACATAGAAGGCCAGCCGTGACAAGTGTGAAGCGACCCCTCCAGTGGAACATTGCAAGAATGGATCGAGAGAGGCTGTCTTCGGTCATTGAGGAAGGATGGGGATCCCAACAAAGTACTTCCGCGAGTCTATCGCCTCCCGCACAAGCCAGGTTGATTAGCGCAGCAACCATGCAACTCATCCAAAAGGCTTGCGCGATAGCGGTGCCAAAGAATGGCACAAAACGGCAGAGATGCTCTGTATACTGGTGGACGAACGAGATCGCAGATCTTCGTAAGAAGTGCTTAAGGCTACGCCGTTTAGTACAACGAGCGAAGAGACACGACCACGACGCTGCTCTTTTGGCCGCAGACTATCAAGCAGCTAAGAAAGCCCTGAAGGGGACCGTCAAGACCAGTGAACGACGGTGCTGGAAGGAGCTATGCCTGGATGTCGTCCAGAATCCGTGGGGATTAGGGTACCTCATCGTCACTCGCAGGCTGGGGACTAACACGCAAGGGACCCCTCAGGACGCGAGGACGTTGGATCACAACGTGCATACTCTATTCCTCTCACAGCCGAAGAGAGAGGTCAGCTTGGATGCGCCCGGCATAATCGAGGTACCGCAATTCACGGAAGAAGAGCTACTCACGGAAGAAGAGCCGAATCTTCTATGCGGAACAAGAAAGCTCCAGGTACAGACGGAATTCCAGCAGAAATAATCAAAGTCGTCGCGCAAAGTCACCCTGAGCTCTTGCTGAACATGTATAACTCGTGCCTCAGGGGGGGCATCTTCACCGCTCCATGGAAGAAAGCGTGGCTTGTTCTCATTAGCAAGGGCAAGGGTCCAGTAGGGGCAGCTTCATGATACAGGCATATTTTTATGCTCGATACGGCTGGAAAACTCCTGGAGAAGCTGCTAAGGCCAAGGCTGCACGCAGCCGTGAAGACAGCGGGGGATCTTGCGCGCGCCAGTACGGATTTCGATCCGACCTCTCCACCAACTACGCAGTCCAGGAGGTGGTCACGACCGCTAAAATAATGGAGCGAGGCAATCATCGAACTCGACCTTTGTGCCTGCTGGCCACCTTAGATGTGAGAAATGCCTTTAACTCCGTCAGGTGGGATCTGGCAAGGGAAGCGCTCGAACGTAGGTTCGGCGTTCCGAAGTACCTACTCCGAATTATTGACGATTATCTAAACGAGCGTTTCTTAGTATACATCACGAGTGATTGTCCAAGAAGCTTGAAATTGACATCGGGGGAGCCCAGGGCTCCATACTGGTACCGGATCTATGGAATATATTCTACGACGGTATCTTTCGTATGGCAGTCTCAGAAGGTACTTTCTTGGTTGTATACCCAGATGACATTGCAGTTGTCATAACCGCAAGAGACACGGAGGGAACACAGTTGCTGCTCAACCAGGTCATGCGGAGAGTTACCTCCTGGATGGAAGACCACGGACTATTTCTAGCAGCCCAGAAGACAGAGATCGTGCTAATTACGAGGAAGAGCATCAAGACCTTGCGCAGCTTCATTGTAGGAGACGCGGCGGTCCATATTAAGTCTGCTGTCAAATATCTCGGGGTTATGCTTGACAACAAGCTTAACTATGGGGAGCATATTATCAGGGCAGCCGACAAGACGGCAAAAGTAGTAGCCTCACTGGGCATACACATGGCCAATGTCATTGGTCCCCGGCCGTGCATGAGGATACTGCTGATGCGTGCCGCCGAAGCAGTGATGCTGTACGGTGCGGAAGTATGGGCCGAGGTGCTTCAAAAACAGAATTACCGCAAGCGCATAGCCGCGGTACAAAGGAGGGGCGCCCTCCGAATCGCGTGCTCTTACCGCATGGTCTCAGAGCCGGCAGTGCTAGTTGTCGCCGGTGTAATTCCGATCGATCTATTAGTCCAGGAGAGGAAATTCGTCTACCAGCAAAGATGTGTCCTGGGAAAGGAGAGGGCATCAAGGCTCGCTAGGTCTATCAGCATCATAGCCTGGCAATGTAGATGGGAGCAGGAACGTAGGGGCAGATGGACTGCTCGACTCATCAGTCAGCTAGACAACTGGATAAATCGGGAGGCGGGAGAAGTTGATATCTACCTCACCCAATTCCTGACAGGGCATGGCCTGTATCGCTCCTACCTGGATAGAGTGAGGAAGGTAGCAGACGCCAACTGCCCCATGGGGACTCGATCAACGACGACGTCCACCACACATTTTTTGTATGTACACGGTGGAGCGCCGAACGACTAGCCTTGGAACATGACCTTGGAGACATCTCGCCGGACAACGTCGTCAAGAAATTTCTATGTGGGCAGAAGGAGTGGAACAAGTTGGCCTGGTACGTCAAGTCAATCTTAAGCAAGAAGATGAAGGAGATGGGTGGCCCATAAGAGAGCCACCAACGTTGCTACTGGTTCCTGCCACGTAGAGCCGAAGAGGGAGTCCAGTTAAGGGACAAGAAGCAGTGGCGCCATCCTGTAGTAATGCCACATGGTGACGCCGGTATGGTTTTACTATGCCACTAGGATGAATGAGTTTAGTCAGTAGTGCCTATTTCAACGGTGAGCCCGACACTCCAGGGACTTTAAGGGGGACCCAAATGGTGAATGGTTCCTCTGGCGGGCAGAGTTCCTGGTTTAGTTCGTAAAGTTTGGCATTCTCAGATCATCAAAAAGTAATTATTGTTATTGGTATTATTTTTGGTATTGTTATTGTTATTCTTGTTGTTATTATTATTATTTTAATGATTGTTATTGTTATTGTTATTATTATTGTTATTGTAATTATTATTTATATTGTTATAGTTATTGTTATTATTATTATTTTTTTATTGTTATTATTATTGTTATTGTTATAATTGTTAATATTGTTATTGTTATTATTATTATTGTTATTGTTATTGTTATTATAATTGTTATTGTTATTGTCATTATTATTGTCATTGCTATTAAGATATGTTATTGTTATTATTTTTGACATTGTTACTATTATTATTATTGTTATTGATATTAGTATTATTATTGTTATTATCATTATTATTTCTATTGTCATTAACATTATTATTATTATTGCTATTATTATTATTATTATTTTTGTTATTGTTATTATTATTATTGTTCTTGTTGATATTACTACTATTATATATATAGTTATTATTATTGTTATAGTTAATGATGTTATTACTATTATTGTTATTGTTATTATTATTGTT